TCGAGTCTGCCTTCCCATGTCTATAAACCGGTGGCGAGATCCGGCGTCGTTTTGGTTGAAACCGCTTCTTCCTCCGTCGTTGACCCGACGACCAGTCTCAGCCTGTCTCTACCCGGAGTTGACCCGACCGAGTCAACCAATCACAGGACCGAGTCAACTCAACCCTTAGCTGTTAATCCCATCATCCATCAACCTTAATCGACTATGTACATGTTCATAGTCGATTAAGCTAATCGACTATGTTCTGGTATTCGATTAAGGTTGATCGACTCCATTTTTTTTTATTTTTTTTGGATTTCTTGTTTATTGTTTCAATTGTATAAATCATTTATAACGTTTATATCTTTTTTTTTTCTAACTAAAATATAGTTGATTTTGCATTTTTTCGCAGTTGTAATTTGTTATGTTTAGTAGCAGATTCTTAATCGACTATGCTTCATCATAGTCGATTAATACACGTGATATAGAAAAAAAGAATTAAAAAAACAAAAAAAAAATTAAATAATTAAATAATTTCCTTAATCGACTATGAAGCATAGTCGATTAAGGCTTAATCGACTATGCTTCATAGTCGATTAAGAAAAAACGGAAAAAAAAAAAAAAAAAAAAAAACTGCTGAGCGTGACCCAGTGCTGATGTGGTGGGCGGGGGCAAAGCTGGAAAGCATAATGGCTCAAAATGGGTGTGGACTTTTCTCAAATGGACTAAAATATTTTGGGCCTCCCTCAATTAAAAAAAATAGTGAGGGGGTTTTCTCAAAGAGCCCCTTATTTAATTGTAGCTTGTTAGCTGGAGTACATCTACACTACTAAATTATAAAGGTATCATTTTGAAAGTCAAACTATCATAAATCTCAGATATACTTTATATACTATATTAACACGTATATGAAATGCATGTCTTTAACAAATAATTATTGAACGTGAATACAATGACATTGTTATTTTAATTTTGAGTAAAGTTTTATATCAAAAAAAAAAAATAAGTTCAGGAGATCTCTTGATATTATTTGTCTCCGTGGAAATTTGGCATAATTCCATTTTTGTCCTTTCATAACATGGAAATTCATTAATTCGGTTTGGTTGAAACCAAAGAGAATTGAGAGGTTGTTTACACTACAAGAAAACACGGCTTCAATGATCTCATTTAGCGACAAATTTTGATAGATTACTGATAAGAACTGCCGTCGGTGAAGCCCTATTTTCTTGTAGTGCTAGGAATCAGGGAATGAAAGTGTTGGGCACCGATCTTTTGGAAATTTGAACTCGAATCATTTGGCTACATGAAGTGTCAAGGATCTGCAACTAGCTATTAATAGCTAGCAGCACACCCTTAATTTACGAAAACGTTTTTTCATATATGGGTTAAATACAGCTTACACCCCTAAAGTATACCATATGTAACACTTACCCCCTTAAAGTATCATTTGTAACACTTACCCCCTCAAGCACAATTTAATTTGTTTTTTTAATTCTAATACCTTAAAATTTTCTCTTTTATTGAAAGAAATAACTAAAAGAATAATTAAATTATACAATTAAAAATATATGTTAAAAAATGCAATATTGTAAAATTTTAAAATATTATCTTAAGTTTGGTACATATTTAATAAATAACATTTAATTATTGTTGGACCAATTATTCGAATATATTCAGATCGATAAATATTAAGAAATCAATACATAACTAATAATAATATCGACTATCTAAATTTATTTTAGTTCATTAATTTCTTAAAATATATTTCCATGCATTATTTGTACAATATATATTACTTTTTAATTTTTTTCGTATAAGAAGGTAAATATTACATAGGCTATAATTGAGGGGTGCAAAGTGTATTTAATCATGTGTATATACATATGTAGATATATAAGGTTAAATGTGTAAATTTGACAAGATATGGTTGTTGCTTAGGTTGTAAAAGTCTTCAGTAGCATTGCATGGGGCATGGGTTTCAATTCCCTTCTTTGGCATATATTATACATTTTTACCTAAATTGCCCTTCTTTGGCATATATTATACATTTTTACCTAAATTGCTAATTGTCATGCAATTTAAATTATATTTCAAAATATATTTTTTTTTTATTAATTTTCTATCTAAATCTTCCTAAAATTCTTATAAAATGTGCAATCTTTTTAATAGATATTCTTTCTTTATGTTTATACTATTAAAAATAATAGAGGGCGCTGCCCGCGAACCCCATAAACTTTTAGTCCATTATTTTTATCAATTGTTATGTATCTGTTTTATTATATTTAACTTCGAACACCCTTGAACAAATTTCTGAATTCACCACTATATACATGTGTACACTTTCCCGTTCCACCAACTAAATTAAACCTACTAAACATGTAGTTATGTTGCTTGCATCGAATAATTTGCATTCTTCCAACTAGTATAAGTTTATTTCTTAACAATATTCTTATAAAAAAAAGTTTATTTTACAATATTGTCAATAACAATGTCATATATAATAACTTTTTTTTTTTTACAATATCTTCAAAATAGCACAAATAACTACACATTTTTTTTAAATGAAGGGCAAATTATAGCCACCCCTGAGGTATGGCCAAATTACGGAAAAAAATCGTCTTGTTTGGGTAATTACGGCCACCCTCCTCTTAAATATTTTTACATAAAATTTATGTAATTCGGTTATTTACCGAACCAAATCGTATATTCAGTTCGGTAAACGGTACGAAATGTTGGCGTACCGAAATTTCGGTTTGATTTTACCGAATCAACATTCCTAAATTTACCTTTGGAGGGGTCTTTTCGTGAGATAATACATAGTTAATGGATAGATGTAATTACCCAAACAGAAGAAAATTTTCATAATTTAACCATAACTCAGGGGTGATCGTAATTTGCCCTAAAATGATGTAAAAAAAGGGCTATTTGATATATTTACCCTTTCCTCATCACCCATTATGCACATATGTATAATGTCTATTATGGGTTTCTTTGTTTTTTAATTTTTTTTTAATTCTTCATTATTTTTGTTTTTCTAATTTCGATTTTTTTTAAAGAAGTTGCTTTTTTCCTTTTCCTTTTTGCATTGTGAAATTAACGTAACCCACAATTAAATCAATATAATTCACTATAAAATTTCAGTAGTCCACTTTATTAAATCTTGATAAGCAAATCTTCACTACAAAAAAAAAAAACAAAAAAAACAATACAATGTGCCTTAGCAGAAAAAATAAACATCCGACTCGAAATAAATATAACAAAACTGGTATTTCTCTGTTTCATTTTCAAAAGATGGCACCAAAGTAGGGCACCGACAAATGTGCCGCAATAATAATAGCAGAGTTACCCAAGCATCACCCACTTAACCATCCCATCTCCATCACTCCGCCTGCTCGAGAAATTGAAACGAAGAAAAAAAAAAGGCAAAGACGTGAGAGTTCAATATTCTAATATTTTTTTTTCAAATGAATGAAGTTGAAATCTATATTCATGTTTCCGATTTTATTGAATGGAATTGTAACTATTTTTTTCACTTCCGAAAAAAAATCAAAAATTATACATAAGGGCTAATTCCGATCCAATCCGTCCGATTTACACCGCTACTTATGCGTCGTACAGTTGCACCATATTGACTCAGAAGTTACGCATTAATTGTTGCTTAATCATCTGGAGTACAACTAGTCTTTTATTGCATTCACATGTGGCAATAAATTACATGATATCTTTTCCAAGTCAAACTATCATAATCTCAGGTACCAACAATAAATATATCAACACGTACCAAATGCATATCTTTAACAAATATTTTTTCAAAGTTAACAACGACATTATTATTTTAATTTGAGTAAAGTTTTATAATAAAAAAATTAAAAAAAATAATAATAATAAGGGCAAAATTCACTTTGCACCCCTGAATTATGGGGTATATCGTATACACACCCATCAATTATGAAACGTGTCAAATACCTCCCTATATTTTCTGGTCAAACTTACAAAAATATAAATACATTAGTTTTGTAATGTTTTATTGTGCAATTACGATTGTACCCCCATTTGCGGTCTATGGGAAATATATGCGAATTTTAGTACTTTAAAAATATTTCAGCCAAAATAAGTAATACAAAATCGCCATCTCCTTTATTTTTTTCCAACATAACTCACTTTGCAAACAATACTTCGAGGATTGTTTAAGCAATTGTTTAACTTATTTTAATATTTTATTAATTGGACCGTTTTTTTAGGTTATAATGACAAATAATTTTTTTTGTAATTAAAATCCACCATGAATGTCTCTTTACGAACTTTGAATATGTTGGGGGTTTGACTTACATTGAGAGATATTTACTCTGATATAATTTTCTATTTAGAGATACTTGATTTAATTAAAGAAATTAGGTATTCAGTTACAAATGTTGTTTGCTTAGGATTGCCATATGAAATTGAGCTCATGATGACAACTAAAATTAGATATAGTGAAATTAAAAAGAAAAAGTGAGCAAAAAACAATTAATTTCAAATGAAAAAATAAGAAAAATAAAGGTAAAAAATGAGGCATGTATAAGCTTTCAGCCCTTGCACAATATATATAGCCAATAGATGGGTAAAAATGTCAAAAAAAAAATGCTATGATAAATGTAGGTAATAAGAAAGTCAACAAGTGACATCACCAAATTTAACAAGAACGCAAATGATGAGGGGGTAATTGGTACGCTTCATAATGGGGGTATATTTGCGACACATTCTATAATTCAGGGGTGCAAAATGAACTTTGCCCTAATAATAATAAACAACCCAGCAGAATCAAAGGTTACAACTCTATAAATAGAAGGCACATTCGGAGGAATTATTACACAACAACAACAAACAAAAACAAAAGAAAGAAGCAAAGTATAGAAGAAAAAAAGATGTGGAAATTTGCCATAATTCCAGTTTTGCCCTTTCTAGTTTTCTTTACATGTAAATTCATTAATTGGGTTTGGTTAAAGCCAAGAAGAATTGAGAGGTTGTTTAGGAAACAGGGAATGAAAGGGAATTCTTACAAGTTACTATTCGGGGATTCGAAAGAGACGAGTCTCATGTACGAAGAAGCCTACTCCAAACCCATTGGTCTTAACGACGATATTACGCCACGTGTCATGCCCAATATTCTCCACACCGTACAGAAATACGGTACCGTATTCACTTTTGCATTTGATCTCTTGTTTAACTTCGTGTTTTGTTATGGTTGTGTAAAATATATATATGTATACACGAAATTGCAGGCAACTATTCATTCTTATGGATGGGGCCTAGACCGCGTATTTTCATAAACGATCCAGCTATTGGAAGAAGCGTGCTTACGAAAAACCGTTTGTTTATAAAGACGTTTAGCATAGCTAACCGTGCGGTTCAGTTACTAGTCGATGGGCTAGCCAATGCAGAGGGGGCGGAATGGACTAAATCCAGATCCATGTTCAACCCTCTTTTCAATATGGACAAGTTAAAGGTTAGTTTATTGGAGATATTAATTAATATTTAACGATGCATTTCACAAACAGCTTAAACTTTTGATTGAGGTGGTTAGAAATAAGACAACTATATGATGTCTCAGTTTACATATTATATTTATATGTATATATCCTTTGTATTTCTCTTTATTCAAAAATTGATAATGTAAACAAGGAAAATCTCCACCAAACCTCGTATTGATTTTACTGCATGAAATCCCATTTTTCGTGCAAAAAAATATTTAGTAACAAAGACGGATTTGGTGCATTTTTTTTACAAGACAAGAAAATATATCCAAGATTAATCTATTCATTTAAAATTTAAATTATTTTCTTAAACTAAATCACACATATTTATTAACACCATTCTTTTATGTATAATAAATCAATACTAAATCATGTAAATGTATACTAATTTTAATATTATAAAAATATAATTTAGAATATAAATTATTTAAATACATTGATAAATTCAAATAATATAAAAAATTATAATTTTTCATAATTTGATGTATAGATCTAATTTTGATGTAAATTGTTCTTTGGAGAAATCAAAATCTAAAATTTGTAAATCTGAGCAAATAATTGTTCTAAACTTCAAAGTCTTGAATTGAAAACTGCAAAATTTAAAAGATCATTCCATCTTTAACACCAACTGTTGTTTTTATTTTTATTTCAAATATTCACTAGTAGAAAATTTGTTTTTTACTACGAAATTTTTTTGCTAAGGTAAAAAGCTGTAACAAAAGGGACTTTTTACTACGGGATAATTTTGAAGTCGTAGTAAATATTAGGATTTACCGTAGCAAAAAAGTATTTGGTACGGCCATTTACCGTAGCAAAGTTTTTGTCATGCCCGTATATGCAACAGGGCAAATTCGTAGCAAAAGCGTTTTTACTACGAATTTGATACCTTTTGGTACGGTTAATGGTCGTAGTAAAAAGCCATTTTTCTACTAGTGATTGTAACTGAATAAATGTGCTCGACTCAATAAATGAAAATAATTTGAGTGTTTAAATGGATTAATTGCACAAATCCACGTTGTATTGTAGAAAACGTGCGCCGAGTCCCCTTTATAATTAACGGCGTTAATTATTAACAGAGAATGAGATTTCAGGCAAGAAAAAAGGAACAAATTAAACGGGGGTCTTACGCAATAAATACAATTGGTGCAGGTTTTCCTAAATACATAGGGTTTTTTTTTATAAGAATGTGTGTTATACTTATTGTTAATAATCTTGAAAAAAAATATTAATCTTATTTTTTTTGACAGCCAATGATGCCTGCAATTCAATCGTGCTGTGAGGATAAAATCAAGGAATGGAAACGAATTACTACCAACGAAAATGGTTCGTGCGAGGTTGATGTGTTTTCCGATAGCCGAATTGTCACAAGTGCAATAATGGCTCAATTAATGTTTAGCTCTACTTACACCGAAGAGATCAAGAACACTTTCCTTCAACTCGGGGAGCTCGGAGTTTTAGCAAGGCTAGCTTCCAAACTACTAAACATTCCCGGAGAAGAGTACTTGCCGACCCAGTCGAATCGGAGGGTCAAGGAAATCGAGAAATACGTTAGGGTTTCGATAACCACTATGATTCACGATAGACTAAAGAGTCAAACATCGGCACCAAGTAGTAATAGGGATTTATTGGATGTGTTATTGAGCGAATTGTATAGTGGAAATGTTACAAAGGAAAGTGAGCGTAAAAAGATTATCGAAAACGCCGTTGGAGAATGTAGGGTTTTCTTCTTCGGCGGTTTTGAGACGAGTTCTAACCTGTTGACTTGGGTCATGGTTTTACTCTCGTTTCACCAAGACTGGCAAGCACGCGCTAGAGAAGAGGTTTTACATGTGTTGGGCAACAGGAAAAGCATCACTTCCGACGACTTGAGCAAGATGAAAATTGTAAGTACTTTATATTATACGTAATTTAATTTGTGCGAGTTATTTGAACCGAAAAATTATATGATGGGGGTGTTTGCGAATTAAAGATTTTGTAGAACTAAAAATTGGTGATTAGGAGTAAAACTGAAAATAAATTTTCGTTTCCGAAAATTGAGGTGGTTGCAAATCATTAAAAAAAATTAATTTTAAGCGGTCAATCCAGAATTGTAGGTGTTTCATGCATAGTCAGCTTTCAAAAGTTTTTGCAAACACCACGATAACAGTCACAATGAAAGTAACTTTGACTTCCAAATACAGTTAAACGTCTATAAATTAATAGAGTTGGGATTAGCAAAATTCTATCAATTTAGCGAAATATTAAATTATGGAACTAATAATTTAGTAGGTTTTTACCGAGTGGGGATCAGAAGAAACTATTATTTAAGCGATGTTATTAATTTATCGAGGTTCTACTGTATATACATAAAAGAGTTATGCTACTAAAAAAATTAATACGACCGTTATTTTAATTTATTTTAAATTTATATACAGATGACGATGATTATAAACGAGACGATGCGTTTGTACCCACCGGTGATGGAAATATCTAGACTGGTGGCCGAAGATACAAAGATAAATGAACTTAGCATACCAAAGGACTCACTAGTCACATTTCCGGTACTTATGTTTCATCGAAACACTGAGATATGGGGAGAAGACGCCGGAGAATTCCGACCCGACAGGTTCGCGGAGGGGGTGTTGAAAGCAGCTAATGGGAATGTGGCTTATATGCCTTTCGGGTGGGGCCCACGCATTTGCATCGGCATGAACTTTGCACTTATGGAGGTCAAAACATTTCTCGCAATGGCTTTGCGTGATTTCACGCTCGAGCTCTCGCCGACTTACACGCACGCTCCGGTCGTTGCTATTACCGTGCAACTGCAGTTTGGCGCTCCGATCGTGCTTACCAAAATCTAGCGATCTCGTGTTTCTTTTATTTATTTATTTAATTTTTCTTTTCTAATTTGTTGCATGCATGCATGCATGGTGAATAAGACGGTGGTTCAAGTCTTGAACTGTCGTAACTTAATTTAATTGTTGTTTTTATTTTCCTATATGAAGTTTTTGTCGAATTATATGTTGGGTTCACATGAGCTGAATTAGTTAATAATGTAATTTTCTCTTTTCAGCATATTTATATATAATTCTATTTTTGCCAGAATTTTCATTTCTTGCTTGAAAATAATATTTCAGTTTGGATGCAACGTTTTTGGGTGTTTTACATTTTTGGACTAAAATATATTAAATTGCAACCAAAGGGATTCAACATTATAAATAATAATATTAAAAGAGTATTACACCTAGCATCTAAGAATATATGAAATTATATATAATTTGAGATCACTTATCTTTAAACGAAGTGAGAATCCTTATCAATACAATAACTCGTAACCGCCTGGTCAGATGGCGATAAGGAAGTCTGAATCGCGACCTGGAACTGCATTCAAATCCTCTATTTTTGACCCCCATATCGCGATTAGGAATGGTGGATCGCGATATGGCATCTACTTCAACTTTAAACAATGTTTTGAGCCTTGGCAGTTGGATTTCTAGCTACACGTTACTTAGCTCAATTGGAGGTCATATGGGGAGTTATGTTTGATATATCGAACACCACCACAATCCACTATAATGCAATTTTGCACTTGTTTGGCTTGATTCTCAGTTTCGCTTCCATAATCGTTTCGAATCGGCAAAAGTAATTTCTCTTTACCTAAAACTGAAATAAAATAAGAAAAACATAACATATACAAAAAGCGTGCAAAACGAACACTTATCGGCGTCTGCCATGACCTATAGCCTTTCCATTGGCCCAAGAACCAATTGGGCTTCCCTTGAGTGATATTATCTTCATCAAACTTCATGAGGTCTTCTAATACAAATTTTCCTAGTTACTTTATATACAAATATTTGTTCTAAGAGAGATACACAATTATTGTTCGAGTTTTTGATGTTTCTAAATCCAGCAATCTAGCATCTTTCAGCGCATGAATTTGAATTTTAAAGACGGTGTTAAGATTGAATCTGAACCCAAATCATTTTGCAAGTTGTAGATTTTATTTTCTACAATCATTAAAATTTTGAACACATGCTTAGATAAAACACAATTAAACATCAAATCTATTAAGAATTTGTCATTGGCTGATGGGATATAATTCGTTGCCCAACAACCACAGTTAAGTGTATATTTTTACACTTAATCGTACCTTTTAATTGGAGCTTTTGGTGTGTTTTAACGATAATTGGTGCTTAAAATGTTGATTATTTGTATTTTAGGTACAAATTGAAGAATTGAAAACTTATGGGGTAAAAACTACAATTTCGGAGAAAAAGTGGGCCAAAAGTAAAAAAATCAAAACTTCGAAGATTTGAAGCCGGATGGTCGTCCGAGTTTCAACACTAAATCTGGCGCGGCCGTCCGAGTTCACGAGGAGGCGCAGTGAAGGAAGTTTAATTACACAAGGAAACCGCCCTCTTATATTTTTGCACCCTATATAAGGCCAAGCCAAGCACACAATTTGGTATCTTATCATCTTTACACGCAATTTAGGAGCAAAAAAACGGAGCAACGAAGACAAAGACTTGACGAATCTTCATCATAGTTCTCCCTTTACTTTTATTTTCAACTTTTATGATTTTTCGTATTTTTATTATGCTTTTCGTAGAGAACATGAGTAGCTAAGTTTTTAATCTAGGATTTTGTTGGAACCCTATGTGGTGATTCGAACCTATTTTTCTAATATTATGCAAGTTTAAATTCCGTGATTATTTCTTCTATTTGATCTTATTTAGCGCATGAACGTAATATTATGCAAGTTTAAATTTCGGTAATGTCAAAACTGACATATTTTACTTTTATGGAGCTATTTACTTGAATACTAGTTTTTTATGTGCTTATATGGGAGATATTAATATTAAATGATACATTTCACTAATAGCTTAAACTTTTCGTTGAGTCGTGTTTATTCAACATAATATCAGAGCCAATCTAAATGAAAGGTCCTGAGTTTGAATCCCACCGCCACACATTTCAAATATTTCAAGTGCAAAGATTCAAGCACTTGAAGGGGTGTATTGGAGATATTAATATTAAATAATACATTTCACTAATAACTTAAGTTGATTCTGGTTTGATGGTCATTCAAAAGTTTATGCATGTGTAACGTGAAATACCATTCAAGATCTATCGAAACTAAGGGTGGAAATGGGAACAAAATTTATGAATTGCACCGATTCCAATAAAAAAATATCCAAATTTGGAATCGATTTTTTTCATTCAATTTCCGAAGTTATGACTTCCGATTTTTTCATTTTTTTAATTGAATTCGAATTGTATATAAAATTACCGGAACTTCCGATTTTCAATCCAATTTTAGTTACGTTCCAAATATTCCGATCGTTTTCCAAAATATATAATGTTTTATTACCTATATGTACGTATATATTTGTTATCTAATTTTATTATATATTATTTAAAACCATAATATAATTTAGGGTAAATTACAAACACCCCCCTGAGGTATGGCCAAATTACAAAAACACCCCTCTTGTTTGGATAATTACAAACACCCCCTCAACTCATCAAATTTAGTGGAATCTTTGAGATTATATGGAATATTATCACTTTTGTACCCGTTTTATCCCATTCAAACTCTACATTATGAAGCAAGATGACCATAATATGTGATTTTTAGCTTGTATATATCATTTTGTGGTGCATCGGAAACTGTATTTTTTACACAAAGAATACAAACTAGAGCACATTTCACGGAATCTAGATGACTATGTTGAATTTGGCACCATAAAGGTAAGAAAAAATCATAGTTGAGGGGGGTAGATGTAATTATCCAAACAAGAGGGGGGTTTTTGTAATTTGACCATACCTCAGAGGGGTGTTTGTAATTTACCCTATAATTTATAATAGATTTTGTATGAAAAATATAAATACCCAAAGGACCAAGTAAATTAATAACCTAGAAAAAATTAGTGCCGAAACTCTGTGTTGTATTTTTTCCCCGAAACTTCCTTATGCATTTTGATGTGCCTATAGGGAGTCTTATTGGATTTTATTGAACTCTTATTGGATTTTCTTGTATTTTGCTAGAAAAATTTGAAATAAATAGATTTTTTTTTTCTTTTTCTTCTAAAAGCTCCTATAATATCCGAATTTGTAACTATAAATTATAAATTAATGCAATTTTCGAAATTCCGCTAATTCCGAAAATTATAATGGATTTTTGAATTCCAATTTTTTTTTGGAATCAAAATTTGAACTCATTTGTAACTTCTGAAAAAATTGGAAATTTTCCAAAAAAAGACATTTTAAATCTGTTATGTTCGCCTTTTACCCCTAATCGAAACGCTTCCGCGAAAATTATAGGACAAAACCAAATTATATTTATAAAAATTTCAAGGGTTTTTTTCATTAATGGTCCAAACTCCAAAGCCAAAAGAATTAATCTTTTCAATGCTCACATGCATACAAACTCGTAAATCATGTAAAAAACCACTATTTCTTTATAAAATTACACAGCATGAGAAAAAAGGTCAACACAAATTAAAGCTCGAAAGAGTTTACAAATTAATTGGGATTGATCACAGCTTACAAACTGATCATATATATATATATATATATATATATATATATATATATATATATATATATATATATATATATATATATAGGCGGAAACTTATGATAATGGAGCATTGAAGTGATGCTGAGGATCGGGTCCTCCAGGACTGTACCGAGCAGGCTTGTGATTAGCTTCCTCCAATAACATCTTTCCACGTAGCATTACTCGAAAAGATTCAACCGCACTACTCAGACTTTCATGTTTAACCGGACGGGCTTCTATTTTCACTACCATTATCGAAACTAATACGAAAAAAACAACAAAGTGTTTGCTGCAATACATTGTTACGTTATGCTAAGGGCACTACTCTGCGTGTATGAAATATATATCCAATTCATAGACAGCTATATATAGACGCATATACGTCTGTCTTTCTAGAATTATATATATATATATATATATATATATATATATATATATATATATATATATATATATACTTTTGTGATCTTTATTTACATTAACAGAATAAAAAAAAAAGGAATTGGAATGTAGCCAATGTGTGATGAGGTTTGAGCTGTCGCTATGAAAATAGAAGAAATATTAGAGCCTACCCTATAACCAGTGCCTGCCCTCACATAGGGCGAGCTGGGCAATGGCCCAGGGCCCCATTTCACATAGGGCCCCATAAATTTTATATTCTTCTTATTATTTTTAATAAAAAGATATAATTTCTTTATCCTTACATATTTCTTCTTCCAAGTTATTTTACTTCTATTCGAGCCCTAATTTCTTTTTTCTTAATTATATAATAGGGCAAATTACCAAAACCCCCCTGAGGTAAGGCTGAATAACGAAAATCCCCCCCTTGTTTGCGTAATTACGAAAATCCCCCTTGACTAACGGTTGACCAATTTTTTTTAACAGAAAACGTGAAAAGTCTATTATACCCTTCTGTTAAATATGTAAAAAATAAAAGAAAAAAAACAAATTACGAAAACCCCCCTGAGGTAAGGCGTAATTACGAAAATCCCCCTCAATGGAATATTATGATTTATTTGTATTTAATATATACTTTTTACATTTCGTTTGTTTAAAATTGAAATATAATTAAACAAATATTAAAAATTATTAAAAATATTTTTACCGTAAAATAAGAAATACGAGAATATTTCAAAAATATGTAAACTCGTTTTGATTGAATAAAAAAATATAAAATATATAAAAAAAAAATACAAAACAAGTAAAAAAAATTATGTTACAAGATATGTTTAATTATTTTATATATTCTTTTTGTATATTTTTAATAATTATAAAATGAAGAAATACGTTATAGTTTTA